CAAACAGCCCTGGTAAGGTGAGAGCCACACAGTGCAGGCCGCGTGTCTCCCCAGGTCAGGGAGGCCGGGGGGGGGGGGGGTTGTCCTGAAACCCAGAGCAACCAAAGGCAGTGGATAGGTGCTGTGTGACACTGTTCCTGGACGTACGTGAGCAAACATCTGCCAAAAACATCCACCAAACCCAGAGAATGAGCTGACAACAAACCAAAGTATTGGTGTGAAATCCTAGCTTGGTGAGCTTACCAGCTTTACTAGCGGGAGTGTGGGTAAGGACTGCTGTAGGGGCACAGACTTAAAAAGCCATGGGCAACTGCAGAAGCCCACCCCAGTGCAGGTGGGTGACAACTCTCAAAAGCCAGGCAGCTGGGCACATTAAGAATCTCCTCCCGGCAGCCCAGCTACTCAGTCTCCTCCTGGAACGGCTTCGTTCCTTTCCCTGTCCAGCTGAAGGGGCCTTGTGCATCTTCTAGTTTCAGCTTTGCCAGGTGAAGTGTGGTCAGATCCTGAGTCTCATAAGTTCCCAGTTCTCTCCAAGATGCAGTATTTCAATCAAGAGGAAAATGCTTCCCAATTTGAGTCAGGGACCTGAGCCTTCTCCTTAGTGTCTCAGCAAAGACCAATGGGATCCCAGACATGCAGTTCAACGTAAATGCTAAACTCCCTCTAAAACATAGAGAATTTTTTCTCCTCCCTTCTTTCTTTCTTTCCTTCCTTCCTTCCTTCCTTCCTTCCTTCCTTCCTTCCTCCTTTTCTTTCTTTTTCTTTTTCTTTTTAAATTTCTTCCTGTGGTTTAATCTCAATCTCAATCTCAATTCTCCTGTAGTGATCCTCAAGTGTGAATTTTGTAGACTTCAATGTCCTATCACAATGCCAAATGATCAGACTCAGCAGAGATGTGCGGTTACCCCTAAAGAGTGTCCCCCATCCCCATGCACGGGTGGAATTGGTGGGCAGTGCCTTGGACACATGCCCACTCTGCTTCACTGGGCTCTCATTATGTTTAAGGCGGCAAACAGACCTAGCTCGTCTTCAAAAGAAGACTCCAAAAGGCAGCAGTGGGAACCCACTTCAGTGAGAATGTGTGGGCCAGGACCGGCCCACTCTGTCCTGAGAATGCAGAAGTGGCGCGTGGGCCTCAAGCTTGAATATGTAGCAGAGTCATGAGGGAACGAGGCACAAAGGGCCAAGGTTTCAGGGCAGGCAGCATGGAGGACTCACACATCCCCTACTCCAAGACATGCTGACACTGACCAGGAACCACAGCTCAAGAGAAGCCCTCCGCAGGGGCAGGTCCCTTGTGTCTCCATACTCTGAGAACACTATACTAGGCTCTATACACAGCTCTGAGGACTAGAGGCAAGCTCCATACATTGATTAAAAGGCCGAGTTCTGAAGAGTAGAGGGAAAGGAAGGGGAGAGAAAAGAGGAAGGGGAAGAGACGAAAGAAAAGAAAGAAGAGAGGTGAGGAGAGGAGGGAGGGAGAGGACACTGAGCAGTGCTAAGCTGGGGTCCAGCCGTTGGAGGCCTGCGCCGCCCCTGGAGAATAAGTCCTTTTGATCCAGCAGTACTCACTCATTAAGCAGGGCCCTCTCTCTGGAAAGTCTGCCTCCATAAGGTCAAGCAGTTCAGGCTGGGAGAGAAGGAGTCAATGACCCTGACCTTGTCGGTACAAGGAAAACGCTCCCAGGAGGGTTTCCAAGTCTAGAGGTCAGCTTGCTGTGGAGATAGCGGCCCCAGGAGGCACGTTCAGAGTTGCTTCTTCCAGGAAGTTCCACGTCCCCACCCTCTCTGAACAAAGGAGGATGGAGAAGAGAACAGAGACCACAGAAGGTCCTTCCTGATAGGTCCTCACCCCTAGCCTGTGTGTGGCAGACCTAGGGAAGCAGGGCCCCCACCGCAGAAGGGGTTGTTCCCCTGCTATTGTAGGACAAGGTGTGTTTGCTCAGACTGTCTTCCAGGTTAACAGGACCTGTCTTGGGTATGCAGAAGGGCAGAGAGGAGGGAAGGGGTGGTGTTGAATGCACGTGAGAGGGGAAAAGTGATGTAAATGGGGAGCATCCAAGTGGCCCAGCTGTCCCCACCTACCTTGCTAGGACCGTCGCTTCCAGAACCAGAAAAGTCTGGGAATTTACTTTGTTAAAAACAACAACAACTCAGTCTGCTTCCCCAGAAGTGGATTTAATTTTATATTATGGCTAAGATGCTTTTTATGCCTGGAGGGATCCATCTCACCCATGAGCAACAGCGTAATTTTATTGCAATTATTGCTATTGGAATTGCAGTGGTTAGCTCTGATTTATCAGGCCCCATCTGTGTGCCTCATTTATACTGTTTAGTCTGAGGTTTTGTACCGAGGACTGAACCTAAGGCCTCAAGCATGTTAGGCAAGGACTCTGTATATCCCTAGTCCTCTTTTTTTATTATTCTTTGCGAATTTCACATCATGCTCCCCAATTCCACTCATCTCCTCATCCCTTCATATCTACCCTCTGCCCTTGCAACCTCCCCACCAAAAAGCATAAAAAAGCAAAATATAAAATTTAGTTATATACATATATATTATACATATATATAATACATATATATTATACATATCTATATATTATACACACACACACACACACATATACACACACACACACATACATATATATATATATATATATATATATATATATATATATATATATGTCACATGGAAACTGCATTGAAATGAGTTATTGGTCTGGTTCGAAGCCTCTGGCTTCTGCTACATCACCAGTACTGGATCCTCACTGGGACTCCTCTCCTGCTTTGGATCTGCAGGACCAACCCCCTTCATGCTCTCCAGTAGTTCATAGATGGGGCAGATGTTGGGTTGGCCAACTCAAAGCCCTGGATCTCGGCCTGGGTGGAGGCTGAATTGGTCATCCCACCAGCTCTCCTGTACCCATGCCACCAGGGCCAGCTTTCCGGCTCTCACAACTTTCCAGCTGGCTTACTGCAGCCCTAGCCCTCTTTTTAAAGTTATAGTTTTTATTTTTAAGATTTAGTTATTATGTATACAGTGTTCTGCCTGCAGGCCAGAAGAGGGCACCAGATCCCATTATAGATGGTTGGGAGCGACCATGTGGGTGCTGGGACTTGAACTCAGGACCTCTGGAAGAGCAGACAGTGCCCTTAACCTCTGAGCCATCTCGCTAGCTCCCTGAAACTTACAGTTTGTGAGAGGGTCCCACCAAGCTGTTCAAGCTGTCTTTAAATCACTCTGGAGATCAGTCAAGCTTTGAACCTGAGATCCTTCTGCCTCAGCCTCCTGAGTAGCCCAGCTATACTATCTCTTTAAACCCTCAACCTACACCCCCACCCCCACCTTCCCAAAACTAAATGGTGATGTTCCTGTTTTGCACCTGAGGAATTTGGGAACCATACAGGCCAAGACCTGTGTAAGACATGTGTTTGAAGATACAGTTGTGACATGTTTGACTGAAGACGGGCGTTTATTTGCTCAGCTCAGCTGGACCCTAGCCTCAACCAGAAGCCCAAGAAGTTGTGGATCTTTGACCTTCTAGGGCCTCTAAGCAGGGAATGGGGCCTCAGGAAAGGGTATGAGGTGGGTTAACTCCAGTGAAATCGGGATTAAAATGTCTTTTCATTAAAGACATCACACATCGTCTCATTAATGATCCTATTTTCCATTAATCTTAAGAACTCAAACAGAGATAATTGGTGTTTAATTAAAACCTTAAGTATATTTCAATAAGGAACATTTTTAAATGATAAAAATAAATACGGAACAAAACCTACCTGTCTTATTTCGGAATTGTTTTGATGTGCCTCAGCTGGTCCTGCCAAATAACCCACCATGATACCCATGCTGCCTTAGGCACTACTGCCACCTGGTGCCTGAGTGCAGAATTGCAGGCTTGGTACTGGCAGCACTGTCCCTGGAGGGTGCTGACGTTAAATAGACACCTGCTCATTTGTGGAGTAATGACAGCTTGGTGCACATCCTTCCTTTATCTGTGCCTCCCCAGTATCTGCAATGTTCATGGCCTTCAAACTGTTTTCATTATGACCAAATTAACAACGGCGACTCTGATGACACAGTGACGTGAGATACAGACCAACATGGTCCCTGAGTGACTCAGAGCTAGCTGGTGCTTAACTGCTCCTTAACTGGGCAGCATCACGTGCTGTATTTTTAGCCTCCATATTTTTACCTTTACCTTCCCTCCACTCTCCTCTACTCGGAGTGTGCTCAGGACTCACAGTTTCCGGAATCTTCTAAGTGCTCCCTTGCCTGCCTGCTTCTGTCTTTACTATTTCTTACGCTCAGAAATGCCGCCCTCTGTCTTTAACTTCTGAACGTAGCCTTCAGATGTCAGACCAAGGTCAACAATCACAAAGAGCAGTGTCGCACGGCGGTGCCTGCAAATGTGGGCAGCGTGGCTTTGGATCTCATTTTCATGTTGAAGAGCAGTGACCACAGCAAGCTCGCCTCATACTGTACCGCTGCGGTTCTATTCAATATAGATGTTGAAAGTGAACAGGTACAGGAGACTCCCTCAGCAAAAACCCATCACCCAGAAGAGCAGTGCGGCAGGTGGTAAAAGCGACAGAAGGGTAGACCTTGCTCGGTGCCTGCTCACTGTGCGACTGGTGGGTGGGTAAATGGCTTCTCCTGACACTTAGTCTTGCTTGCAGAGAAAACCAAATCTCCTCCCTCCATTAAAAATAATGCAAGTTCCCAATGTGCACATCCTGGCGCCATCGCCCTCCTTTGCTCCATTACCCCGGCTCCCTTCAGTATTACTAAGCTTCCTCAGCTGTAAGCCACGCCTATTTGCATGAACCAGGCTAAGCAATGATGCCGTTTTGGGCAAGGTTGCTTTTGGCCAATCTCTGTCAGCTTTTTGCGTGCACCTGGGATTAGTGGGTTGGTCACCAAGGGGGGTCTGTGATGGGCTTCCTCTGTGTCTTTCAGAGAGTCTTAAATGTCACTCTGTTTCTCCCACCAGGTAGTCGATAGTGACAGACCCGAAGGGTCCAAGTTCCGGCTCACTGGGAAGGGAGTGGATCAAGAGCCTAAAGGAATTTTCAGAATCAATGAGAACACGGGCAGCGTCTCCGTGACACGGACCCTGGACAGAGAAACGATCGCTACTTATCAAGTGAGTACCGGGTGCGGCCTGCCCTGCGCATAAAGATGGGGATTTCAGAGTGATTTCTTCCCGCTGAGCCAATTATTTCTGTGCCTCATCAAACCCACAAAAGTGTGGCTTGAGGTGCTTCTGTGAGAACAAAAGTAGAGAGTAACAGCGAAGGGGGCGCCGAGCTCATCATCAAAGCCGCCAGGCTGGTGTCAGACTTTGGGCTGGAGAGAGCAATGAAAGCGATACTTGAGGTATCTCAGGGAGGACAAAACACCGAGGCCACGCCTGGCTTTCAGAGACCTGCGCTCTGACCAGCAGTGATAAGGGCAAACCCTCTGACAAGATAATCCTACTTTTAGACGTTTATCCTGATGGAATCTGCAGGAGTTTTGTACAATGTAGGCCGTGGTCCTTAGAGTGGAACGTTGCTAAGCAGTAAGCAGTGGGGAGGGGGGGGGGGCTTGCAGCACGGTGGGGAGGAAGGAGGCAGCCTGCCAGCCGCGGAGGCGGGGGGGGGGGGGGTGTGAGGGGGTGAGGGTGGGGGGGGGGCGGAGGGCAAGAAGGCAGCTTCCTGCGGCACTTACAAGATCTATCATGACAGGGACTGGAGTGGTAGCTCAGTGGCAGACAGCACTTGCTGCTCTTCCAAGGACTGAATTTAGTTGCCAACACAGCAACCACCCGTTACTGCAGCTCCAGGGGATCCGATGCCTTCTTCTGACCTCCACAGGCACTGCATACACACACGCGCGCACACACACACACAAATACACACACACACACACACACACACACACATGCATACACGCATGAACTCATACAGGGAAGTAGAAAATCTTTACAATCTCTCTGAAGAAGGATTATGTGGAAACAGAGTAGTTACATGGGAATATTCAAGACGAGAAACAGAAGACCAACACATGAGGTGTCCTTGTCATGCACGGATCGGGACAGGTGTGCCTTTAGAGTAAGTGAAGAATCAAGGAAATGTGTAAAATTAAATACCCAGATGTGAACGGAAAAAAATAAATACAGAAAAAGTCATAGGTGCTTAGAATGGACATCTCCCCGGGAACAGTAGTATCGATGCTATCGAGATGATTGCTCATAGGAGCTGCGCAGACCATGAACCCTCTGTGAACGAACTATGTGCCGGGAGTCGTTTTAAGCATGTAATTTATTTCTTGTAATTCGATTCTCACAACAGTTTATAAGTAAATTATATTACTGCCTTATTTTCTAATGGAGAAATAGCATTTGACTTGTGAATACAGACCTCTTGTAGGTTGCCGGCTGGGGTTTATCTTGCTAGGCCTCTTCTTGGTCTGTGCTCTTTTGTCAGTGCTATATACAAAGGGTTCCATTGATTAAAATGGTGTAAAAAGATAAAATGATGTAAAAATGATGTTCCAATGATGTAAAAAGGAAAAGGAAGAAGGAAGCTGAGGAGAAGGGAGAAGAGGGAAGGGAAGAGAAAAATCAGTGTTAGTGGTTGTGTTTGAAACTATGGATATTGATTGTCTTGGGCTCTCATGCCTACCTACCTTTTTCGCTGTGAATTTCAGTAAAGAGATGCCAGGTGATGGGCAGGGGAGGCATCTGCTGTTGGCCCCTACTATTGCTATTGTGGGGTCCCCATGCAATAGCAAGCTCCGTGTCCCCAAGCATCATGAGTCTTGGTCCCAGGAAGTCAGATGCCTCTAGAACCCCCCAAGGGGTTTCTGAGCCTTTTCTGGACAGGGGAAAGCACTGTTCAGTTTGTACTGAAGAGCTGTTTGCACCAAGGGAAAGAAGTCTGGCTGCTATAAAACTCTGGTTTGAGGCCCACAGGAGTCACTGACTCTGACAATACCCAGGGATGATTTGGCCTGTGAGAGAAGAAAGGAACAGAAGACCATGAAAGGATAGTTACCCTTTTCTCCCCACACCTGTCATGGAATATCTGTGAAGTTTTAGACCCAAGGAACTGAGGCAGGCCATGGTGAGTTTGATAATTTCTAAGCTCAGTGGCTAAGAGTTCAGGGATCAAAAAAGCCAAACCAAAACCACACAGAAAAGAAACAAACAAAACCCCATCATCCAGCTCTAAGTAGCCATGTCTCTCCCTGAGCTGTGTGAGCTCGGGCGACCCACTCACCCTCTCTAATCTTCCACAGTACACAGAGAATCTTAGGAGCCTCTCCATACTGGGCAAAATCGGTTGCCTTCTGCACACATTTGACACAATGCCGAGCACTTAGCAGCTTCTCCTAACTCAGAGTTACTCCTAAACATCATTTTCCCAAGCGTCATTGTCTTAAATATCATTTTTCTTCAATGGTTTAAGTTCTGCAATTTTCTAGCACATTTGACCTGTTGACATCTGATAAACATAAGGTTTTCCTCCGTTCTAATGTTATCGGGAGTCATAGTTTTGCTGTCCTTTCATGAAGTATAAAAAATATTTGGGGGTGAATATGTAAAGGTGATTAACCCTGATTCAAGGTCTTCCCAGAGGTAAAGAGACAGGGATATTAAATGAAGGAAGAGACATCTGCCAAGAGAAGCTCAGCTTGTAAGACCTGGGGAATGAGAGCTGGCAAGGTGTTTTCTGAGGTGCCTCCTACAGACACTAATGAATAGGAGGTGAAGCGTGGTTTGCAAGGCCACAGGGCCCTATGTGATGTTTGTGGGATCCATGATTAGTTTATGTACTATCACCCTGCTTGGAGCCTTTAATATCCAGGGAAAGACTCTGGGTGCCACATACTCGGCCTACCTCAGTGAGAGCTTTCTCCTTAGGTGATATAGTCTTAATCTCCAGGTGCAGTGAGGAAGCTCCCTGGAGGTAGAAGACTTTGGGGGAGAGTTGGTAGCCTTTGGGGCTCAGGTCATCAGTCAGAGTTAGGTCAGTCATGTCCCTTGGTTTGGTTGTTTCAGAAACTCCAGCTGAAGGCCTCTCCCAGAACTTCTGTGTTGTACCATAGCCACGTGGTATGCTGTAGGTCCCACACCCACCACCAGCAGGTGCCACGCCACTGAGCATCATGGGGTTTTGTTCCAGGAGGATGAGGGTAAAAGGATGGCAAGGGTGTTCTCTTTGAGTCTTAGTAGGCTCTGCTCCACACAGGCTGGGCAGCGGGGTTCTCATGCCCTGTCTCCCTAGGCTCCAGCTCTTCCCTCCAGTCTCCTTTCTGCTTCCTTCTGTCCTTGAGGAGCAGCCAGGTGACCTTTGCTAGGATCTCCTTAGACACAAAGATGCTCTATCTCCTGTCCATTTCAAACTCCCATGGGAAGTAACTTCCTGTCTTAGAGACTGAGGCTGGATCCGCTATGGTTGTGGCATTCAGTGTTCATCATATTTTGCAAAGATACCTTGTGGTAAATTGCTTTCACAAGTTTAGGTACCCTAACCCTAATCCCAACCCCAACCCTAACCCCAGCCCCAACCCTAACCCTAACCCCAACCCTAACCCTAGGGTTGGGAACTGAGTGGCTTCTTCAGAGCACACATCCTAAGTCTCCACATCACCAGGCTTTAGCTTCTACTCTCCCAAGCTTCAAAAGCTCAGAGTGTGAGTGCGTAGGTGTGTATTGATGTGGTAATTGCTTTAACGTAGCTGTTGTTTGTTTTGGAGCTAAATAACACCATTCATGTGCAAGTTACAGATCTGTGTGCCAACAGTCACCCCCAAATCTAACCAGGAGGCACTCTGATGAAGCTTTGGGGAACTTATGAATAAGACACAACTTGAGATACAGTTGTCCTTGACCCTAAATGAACACCAGCATTCAGCTACCATTTTTCAACACTGCACAGCAGATTCTTAGAACCTCTTTGTGCGCACAGAAGAGGAAGAAGGAAAAAAGAGTTGCCAAGAACATGGAGCAGAGTGGGCCTCCTGTCATTCTAGGCACCCAGGAGGGTGAAGCAGAAGAACCATAGGATGATGGCCAGTTAGAGCTACAGCGTGAATTCAAAACCAGTCCACACAATCCAGTGCGGCCCAGTCTTGAATAACAGCATGGAAAGAGGCCTGGAGATACAGTTCAGTGTTTGAGGTGCCTGCCTAGCCTGTGTGGACCCTGGGTTCAGTTAGAAGAAAGGAAAGAAGAAGGGTTGGAAGGAGTAAGAGAAGTATGGAGGAAGGAAAGAAGGAAGGCAAGTCAGGCAGGCAGAGAGGGAGAGAGAGAAAGTAAGGAGGGAGGGAGAAAGAGAGAGAGGGAAGGACTAAAAGAGAGAGGGAGGGAGGGAGGGGAATAAGGGAGGGAGGTTTAAGAGAGGGAAGAAGGGAGAGAAGAAGAAAGAAGGGAACTGGTGTTACCAACCTTCTCAAGGACACACAGCCAGTGTGTATTAGATTCAGGATCTACACCAGTTTCACAACAGCTCCGAAGCCTCGCTTCTAAGTCCCCTCTCTCTGTTTTCACCCCCGACTAGACTTCAACATTGGATCCAGATTCCCTAGCCTCTTTCCTAGGACCTATCGGAATTGAGCTGAGAGAGGGTCTGACAAGCGGTATAATCAATGGCTTCTTAAGTCCCATCCTGTTCTGTGACTTACAGCCAGCCGCCCTACTGCAGGCCCCTGCCCCAGCGCCCAGAAAGGCTTCCTGTGGCTCTGACCTCAAGTGGCACCTGGCAAGATAATTTAGCTCTTACAGTATTGGGAGATGACATATTAATGCAAAGCCTCCTGAAATATCACTCATTATTATGCATTTTGCCAGTGTTTGAGTGATTTGTGAACTCTTCATTGGAATAAAGTACTGTAAATGATTCATGAATGACCAAGTTTATGAAATTCTATAAAAATATTAGCGGGTGGTAATGATTCTCTCTCACTGTGAATGGAATCTGCTGGCTGCAAATTTGTCAATAAGAGAAGACAGGAATGGAGTGGAAGACTGAGTCAGTTAGGCAAGTGGGGGTCCTGGTGGAAGGTTTGGGATGGTCTCCAAAGGGGGTATGAGGCAAGACAGGAAACAGGGAAGACAGATGTTGAGAGCACATGTCACCCTGATCAAGTTCGAAAAAT